TCCTCACTGTCCCATCCTCACTGTCCATCCTCACTGTCCCATCCTCACTGTCCATCCTCACTGTCCATCCTCACTGTCCCCATCCTCACTGTCCATCCTCACTGCCCCATCCTCACTGCCCCCATCCTCACTGTCCATCCTCACTGTCCCCATCCTCACTGTCCCCCATCCTCACTGCCCCATCCTCACTGCCCCCATCCTCACTGTCCCCCATCCTCACCGGGCCCCATCTCCACCCACTCACTCACCTCAATTCCCGCCCTGCCCACAGCCCTCACCACCTCACTGTCTGCCTTGCAGTTGTCCCCAGGGCCCCGAGCGTGTTCCCCATGACCTCAGCATGCAAAGCACCAGCAGGAAACAAGGTGGACCTGGTCTGCTTGGTGACCGAGTACTACCCAGAGCAGTTGACGGTCACCTGGGAGCCAGCACAGAACATAAATCAGACGACCTTCCCGCCCACAAAGAAAGGGGCATTCTACACCCTGACCAGCCGCGTCTCCTTTCCGGACTCACAGTGGGACCTGAACACATCGTACATGTGCACTGCCCACCACAATGAGACCAAGAGCCAGATAAAGAAGACTTTCCAAAAATCAGGTGCGCAGCCCTGGACCACCAGGAGGCCTTTCCTGTGGGGGCCCTCTCCCTCCTGCGCTCACCGCTCTGCTCCTTTGACTTTCCCCATGGAGCCTCCCTCTGTGCTGGGCACTGTGGTGTTGCCCTGGGCCCCGCCGTCCCTGGGCTGTCTGTCCTGTCTGTCCACTGCGGCCCTGCCTTCTCTCCCTCCCCTTCTGCCTGCCTCTCCTGTCACGTCCTCTCCTGATGCCCCCTCCCTTCTAGCTGTCCCTCTCTGCCGCCCTCTCCCTGGCCCTGCCATCTGGCCATGCCCTTTGGCCCCCGTCTCTGGTCCTGCCTCTGGCTACTCCTTCTGAACTTCCCTCGCCCCTTTCTGCTGCCAATGCGCCCAGCGCCTGCATGCTTTCCTTGGGGATGGCTTCCACAGGAGCAGGGAGGTAGGCGGCCGGCCAAGGCAGCAGCTGAGAGCGGTCGCTCTGCAGGCCTCCCCTCCTCCGGCCACGCTCCCCGCCCGGGCGCTGTCTGCTTGCTCCTGCCACCAGTGCGCAGCAGAGCCTGGCTCCTCAGTCCTCTCCGCTCTCTCACCCGCACCGCCGCGGCTCCTTTGATTTCAGACTCGGGGAATTCGAAGGTCTTCCCCGCGCCCACTGTCCCTGTGCCAGCAGAGAAGGGCTCTGTGGAGGCCAGGGGACCCACCTCCCCCGCCACCAGCCACACAGGTGAGAACTCGGCCTCTCAGCGAGTCTTCCTTGTAGCCCATGCGGACCCGGGCTGCTCCTGTGGGCCGCCCTCCAGGACTGCTCACCTCAGTGCTTAACCCAGAGCAGAGCTGAGCAACAGAGCTGAGCTGAGGCCTGCACACCACCTGGAGCAAGCCAGCCCCGTGTGGGGGGTAAGGCCGGCCCGGGTAGGAAGCAGAGGAGGCCGGGCCAGCCCTCCCCAGTGCAGGACAAGCTCTCATCACAGAGCACAGGCTGAGGGAGGGACCAGGACGGACGCTCCTGGCGCAGCAGACCCAGCTCTGCACCTCTGTGCTGTGTCGGGGGCTCCTCCAGACCTCCAGGGAAGCCCATGGCAGACTGTGAAGACGCGGAAGACATCATTTGAGAGGCCAGCGCCCCGGCCTCCACTCTGTGGACAACAGAGGAGCCTCGCTGCTGCCTCCAGCGTCTGCAGGCCCCAGGGCTGGGCTGTCCCTGGAGCTGCTCCTGCCTGTCACCTCCAGAGCAGGCGCTAGCAGGAGCGCCGTGTGGAGAGCCCACTGTTAGGACTCTGCGGCCAAGCGGCCCCGAGTCAGCCGCTGCAGCTCTGAAGGCGCTTCCCCCTGAAAAGGAGCTCAGTACCCTGTGTCCACTGTGCCCCAGGGCTCACAGCCTCGGCCCCCGCAGAGCACTTTCATGTGGCTGAGCAGGGTTTTACTAAAGGCGTTGTACCAAGAATCCTCTGGGGAGCACACCCGGAGCCAAGCGCATGCACTCCCCTCACAGACACCCAGGTCCAGGCCTGGGAAGAGCTGTCTGCTTAGCACAGCT